TGTGGACCCCAGCCCCACCCTCCACCCCGCCGCCGCAGATCCATATTTTGCCCTGGGCCATGGACCCTACATTCCCAAGGAGACTCAATGTTATTACTGGAGAGGAGAGAATGACCTTTCATTTATCTCGCTAGCTTTGTGCTATTCCGCAGCTTTGTGCCATTGTCCTTTTTGCTTCTTCTGTACTAGAATTATAATTATGTTCTCATAATAGTGCTGCACATTGTCATGGAAATGATGGAGATCACAAATGAGAAACCTACGCTCTACAGCAGTAACTGTGACCTACGGAGAAATCTGGATAATTAGGCTTTCCTTGCAAGAGCAAAGAAGGCTGTGAGTGGTGGAGGCATAAATCCTGGCCTGGTTACTGCAATAAATCAGTGCTAAAAACTGCAATGCTGGTATTTATTTTTTAGTTTTTAAAAATTTAATTAACCTCCTATTTCATCCTAAAAAAGGATCTAAGGGTTAGACGGTGGTGCAGTGGTAATACAACTGGGCTTACTTGGGGAGGCCCTGGGCACACGCATCCAGGCCTCTGTGGACACGGAGGGCTCACGTGTGCCCATGATCCCGGCCTGCTGAGTGTGGGGTACGACTGCCACATGAGGACCCTGATGGGGTCGCTCACTCCCTCACCTCTCTCTTCTTCTGCCTCCTCCTCTCTCTCAGAAGAAATACATAAATAAACTTAAACACGATAAAGGATCCAAGTGACTGGTGACATTTGTATAACATAATAAAAAGGAAAATAAGTAAGCCAGTCTCATGGTATCATCAGTACCATATCAGACTGTGGAGCTGGAAGTCACATACAGACTGGTTCAAATCCCTAAGCCAGTCAGACTGAAAACACACAGGGCATGCACGCACAGCCCAGGACCCCGGTAGACTAGAGGAAGACCGAGCACAGTGGAGGGTGCTTCTCTCTCACTCTGGTGCACATGTGCTCTGTCATAAATAAATAAATAAATGCAGAAAGAAACATACAAACCAAAGATCAAGAGAAAGAGTAAAAAGAAATTCAACACTGGAACTAGGCTAAACTATATACCCCAATATATGCCCAATATATGCCCAAATTTAGGCCAGAACCCCAACATGTAACCAAAGATCCTGTATGCTTGCCTGAAAGGGGCCATAAGGTGCATCTAACATTCCAAACACGAACAGAGAAACATAACCAGCTTCATGAATCAGGGTCAATGCAGGAAAAAAAAAAAATCAATTGTTTAGGCAAAGCATGATTTCTTCCTGGCACTGAAAATTTCCAGAGGAAAATTTTTCCCACTGGACTCTCGGAAAGACGGTGCTCTGTAATGTGAACAAAGTGCCTGCATAAAACAACTTCACGCAGAATAAGTCACACAGGGAGTTTGCAGAGTATGCTGTCCCTGAAGGCAGACCGAAGGCATTTAAAGTCCAGTTAT